TCGATTCAACCATAGCTCTGATCAAATCGGTCATTCGGGAACAAAGGTTTCCTATTCGGACAGAAAGCGATGATCGCGTTTCATACGATAAAAGGATTCATGCAAAAACGGGAATAGCATAAAAGCGATACAGGCATAAAGTTACGCACTAATACATAGCTCAAGCCACCCGTTACATCGACCTCGATATTACCTCGGTAGTGCAATATATGCCCAGGGTAATTTTCTCGGTTATACGCGAACGAGTTTGTTTTGGCTGGTAATATCGCCCCTCTGCGCCCGCGAGCACTTTTTCGACACAAAATTTTCCATCTCTCTCTCAACTACCAGCCGCAGTTTTTGTTCCCGTCCCTCTTCGACGACAGAGAGACAACACACACGACGGAGACAACACACCCGTTGAAAAATGTATCCACCATGGGATCGAACCCCCTGTCCCTGAAAAACCACTAACCTTCCGACGAAAAAGTTATTACGCAGACAAAACACGTTGCCAGGTGGAGTTTATTCCGCTGAACCTCCTCCTGGACTATGCTCGATGGGAAGTTTTTTTTTTATTTCATAAACGCCGCTTTCGACGTAGTGCGCATTCTCGAAAAAAAAAAAAAAAGAAACAGTGACAAAAATCGAAATATCCGCTTGAAACTATGTGACGGTTTAAAGAAATGCTTCGTGCAAACTATATGAGCGATCGTTCTGTCTAGATTTATTTTCACGCTCGTATAAAGTAATATATAATCAGTTTCTTTCCACGAAATGAATTATTTCTAATCGCGGAGTTATTAAATAAATTATGTATAAATACACACATAAATTCAAATCGCGTTACTTATTCTAGTATATCTCGTTTTATTAGCACAACTTTCTTTGTATAAAAAAAATTTATCGAATTATCGGTTTTCCGTACGATCTCACGACAAAAACAGACTTGTCATTCGCAGGATTAATCTGCTTTAATGGAGCGACTCTGGCAATATTATTTCTGCATTTTACTGCTCGCGAGAGATCGAGTTATTTTCTCCAAATGATGGCAACTCGTTGTGATATTGCCAACCTTTTCAATTAGATCTGCAAATCCTCTTCGAATTTCACCGACCGACTTACCGCCGATTTTGTCGGGTCATAAACGTTTCGACAATTGCATCAAGCTTATGCGGACGCTAATCAATGCTAATTGCTCTGACAGTGTCATTCTTCATTACGTAAAAGGTTGAAAAACAAAAGTGAAGAAAGACAGAACGCAAAGAGAAAAAACTGCTATCTTTTTATAAATATGAATAATATTTTTTCTGTCTTAAGAGACATCTAGCAATAATTACGACTAAAATTAGTATAAAATCAGTGAACTCACGCTTTTACACTTGTTAAATAATACCTACGTTTACTACAATATAAACGTGCTACTATAATATAAACCACTGAAACAAAACAATGATACAAATTATATTTTCCACACTTTAGAAAAACAAAAGTTTGTGAAAGTACTTTATATAAAATATGTTTGCAGATATTTTATTACAGCGTACTCTTTGTGAAAGAGAAAAAGTGTAAATTTATGTTACGCCAGAAAATAATTAACCCTTTGTTCCCAGCGGGTCGTCAGCGGCAACTCGACGAATTTTTCGTCCTTATGTAAGGACTCGCAATGACAAGTCTTAACTCGGTAGAAAATTCATTTTAAACATTGTCAAAAAGAGAAGTAATTTTAATGTAGTATCATATGATATATAATATTGCAAAAATATTGATGAAAAATGTATCGTGAAGAATTAATTATTTTAAAATTAACATCGAAAGTTATATTCTTTAATACTATATCCCAGCTTCAAGTGAATAAACAGACCGAAGTTCATTACAGATACTATCAAATAACCGATGATTCGGTACGCGGATTTTATACAAAATAATGAGTGACATTTTTCGTTATCTGATGAGTGATTAGAATATGCTTCAGTTGTATTGCACTTAGCAACAGTAATAATCTCGACGCTCAATATTCTCGAAGGGGACGTACGCGTTATCGTCGATTAATTGCAAACCACGTAGAGGTTTCGAGGGGCTATTAATTGGACTGTTATTAATTCAACATGTACCCCGCGAGTTTCCTTCCGGATTCTCGATATGAGATCGCGGATCGTAGTTAGTATCGCAATTAGTTTTGCAGTTAGCAACCGATTATAATTACATATTAATTAGTTATATATATATATATATATATATATATATATATATATATATATTAATCAGGATATTAATACACATATATATTAATGGCACAAATACACACTTATGTGATTATATAATTTTTACGCAAACATCATCGTTCTGTTGTCCTATCAATACTTTCTTCGTACATTTCTTATTTGACAATGAGAAATGGATTTACGAAGAAGTTTAATTGGCGGAAATATTGTATTTTGTATTACAATATCTGATTCCAGGCAGAGAAAACTAGAATTTAAAATCAAGTGAAATTAAATGAAATGGAAATTTATTGTTTCATTATTTTGTCCTTTAAGAAAGAATATTTCTATATGCGTCAATTATTTTATTTCCTACAAATCAATTGTTGAGATACGATATACCTCAACAAGGAAATACTTTTATATTAAAAAAGATTTCTAAAAATTGTATTTGCCATGTGTGTTACTATTAACATTTCAGGGATACATAATTAGCCACGTGTTACGTTGAGAAATATTTACCTGGACTACACTTACAATTAGTTTACATCTACCTATTGATTTAGCTCTTCGTCCCGAGTAGAATCAACTCTACTATCGTGAGGGATTTTACGAAATGATTACCGAAACACGATTAGAGAGAAGCTGTCGCTCGACACGCGACATTTAATTAGACAATAATTAACGCTTGCTCCAATTTCAAAGTCCTGCTCGGTAAACAGAAGTTGCTAAAAGATACTCGTTGAAACAATAATATCCACAACTGTGTAATGAAGATATAATACAAAAGAAAAATTTGTACTTTTGATTCTTTATCTTTTCATCCGACTATTCTATACATATTTTTATAAAAAACTTTATGCAGAGTTTTTTTTAATTTTATAAATATTATTGTTCCTACAACATTCAATATAATTGATTTATCTACTAAATAAAGTATGTCGAATAATTAAAATGAGTACCACTCGTGAAAGTAAGGCAATTAGTTCAGCTTTATTATCTAGCATTATAATCCAGAAAGCGAGCTGCTTAAAATAATCAAAGCACTACTGAAAGTTTGATCATAATAGCAGTAATTATGAATTCTTTTTGGTGCTATTCGTTCCGATAATATAAGCGGTATATTCGTCATTTTTATTTATGATTGCGGCTTTTACAGCTTTTATTAACCAAAAGAAAATCAATATCTAAAATCGTTAATTCTTGCTGAAATACGCGCGGCGTGCGACGATAATTAAACTCCATTAAGAATGTCCGATATTAGCGAAATAAAAATAAAAGCGGATAAAAGTATTTCAAGATACTCGTTGATGAAATATAATATATAGTTTTCCTTTATTAAAAGTATTCGTCAAAAATGTATCGTGTTTTACTTCCGCGATGTGTTTGAATAAATTTTACATGTCATTATTATTTTCGCATAATTCACAAAAAAAACAAAATTCTATTCTATCTTTGAAAACATTAGAGATGTAAAAGTGTTTAATTAAATAGCTTATAAAGCATTTGGGGATATAAAGTATTTTATTCGCGTGCGTGTACAAAATACCGTTTTTTCACGACGAACTAAGTGCAGGTGTTTCGAAAATTTCAGCGAGAAACAAAAAACGAGTTGGACTAAGGGGCAAACGGAGAAAAACGGCGGTGTGTTGCTCGGTAAAGCACCATAAAGTCTCATTGGCTTTAATTCGGTCGTATCCTGCTGGCCACTGGGAGTGATTAATCGTAAGGTTACTACAACACGAAAGCACCTTACTACCAATCATTCTCTACGATGCTTTAAAAGGAAGTCAACAGTGTTGCTTAATGCATTTTTCCCACCTAATTGACTATATGTAGTTGTTCTCCGAAAAAGTAAAGTCAGTCAACTATTTTATCAAAGGTATTCTTATTTCTAAATTGAAACAAAATATACGCTATTTAAAAAAATTGCATAAAATTACAAATTATATGTTTGGTAACATCACGTGGTTTTTTAAGAAGTTTTCTGTCATCCGGCATTCTCAACGACTACTGAAAATTTGCCTGTGTATTTATTAAAATTTATTATAAAAGGAAGAAGGAGCTTTCGGTTAATGGCGATGAAAAATTCAACTACTTTTAAAAGGAAGGGAAGAAGGTCGGTCAATGTTTAATCTTTAAATAGAACAGGATATACATTCTCATTGTATCTCTTATTAAATCTTGGAAGTTTTTAAGACCCATCTTTAATTTTTTATTGTGCCCTTCCTCCCTCTTCCTCCCTTAAATTGCTGAAGAAATCTGTAGATGAAAATATAACAAACTTGCGACCTTGTACATCAAAGTAATATTTCTTATTATGGTGCTTTGCCGAGATAGAAAATAAAATATACATAATGCCTATCTTTCAAAGCTTTAAAACCATATATATATATATATATATATATATATATATAGGTCAATTTTTTCGACAAATAAAATATATGTATAATGTATTATATAGTATTTATACTTGAGACTGTGTGTAATTCCAATAAATATGGTAAATGTTCAGAAATAAAGCACTCCTTGTAAATCCATTCGCCGATATTTAAAAGTATATTTAAAAATGTATCATCCATCGAACACATAATCCGCGGACTTGTAATGCGCGTGCAGATCACGTGAAACAAAATGAAACGCTTATGAATTCTTGAAGAGTACGTTTATTTCCCGTGGCTTATAAATATACATGCCCCACCGCTTATTCCGCGGTACAGAGAACCGGCGGTATTTTCTTTTTTTTTTTTTTTTTTTGTTTTTATTCGACCGGTGAAACGTTGATTGAAAGCGTGCTTACTACTGTTGCTGTTTCAGCTGCGCGAGTACACCCTGACCGAATCGTATCACGAAGACGACGTCGAAGTGGAATTCGTCAGCAACGACAATCTCCAAGCGAACAGCGAGACTCCCCGAGGAATCGATCCGAACAGGGACCTAAACGAGGCCATAGCCGAGGAACGAAGGGAAATGGACACCCAGAGATACAGGTACGCATCTCCATACACTATCGCTTTTCTCGGCCACCCTCGTCAAACTTTTTACTTTGTATTTTTGCGGATTAACGGGAGTAGAAAATCACGCTTTGCCGCATGCATATTTGATAAACGGACTGCCAAAAATTGCCAATTTTCGCCTATTTTACATATCTGCGTTTCGAATTCAATCAGTTCAATCGAATGGATTAAAACATTCGAAAGAAGAAATCGGGAGGAAATTTTAATTATCTCGACCGAAATTTGGAATATTTATAGAATCTAGAGCGTGAGTTATTCCTTGCGTATACATAAATGAATCATTTTTCTCTTCATTATTTAAATAAGCGTGATTAAATACAGCTGCGGTATATAAAAAAGGCTCTCCGAATGTATATAGTATAATTTAAAATAAAATATAACAGTTATAGTGTAATTTTATTCAATTTTTAATACATATGAAATGTTATAACTCCGTAATTTATTATTTAACTAAATACAAAGCTATTTACGATGCAACTTTTTCGTGTACGCTTCTTAAAGTATTCACATTAGATTGAGAAGGACTATAGAGGAGACACACCCGTACCTCATAAATCCACGGTTAATAAAACCGAAGGTCCGAAAAAAGTCCGAAGTTCGAGTCAGCTCGTTAAGCCTAGCACGTCTTTGGGTTTTAGTTCGTCCAAGACGTCACCTTGAGGCGAGGCTCTTAAACTTGGGAACGGCAGATAGTAAATGGTCGCCTTTCTTGGACGATATGAGAGAGGATCGCATAAGCGACGAGTATGTATTCAATGGAGGAGCGACAGTCGCGTATCGATATCGAATTTTGGAAACGGCGTCATTGACTGCCCGAAAGCGGTCTTCGCGTCTACTGAGCTTTTCTCCCTTGCTTTTTTCCCTGTCGCACAAAGAGCGAAGAGGCAAACGTGCGCAGAAAAGCATCGAATTTTATGGCAGGGTGATGCAAAACATTGAGCTACCTTGCTCGTGAACGTGACATTTGCTGTTGTCAGACCTCCGTCGAGAGGAGCAGATCTACAGTTCGAGAAATAACAGTATCGGTTTTTCGAACAATACGCACGGTTCTTTATATAGAGTTTCTTTCGAAATATAAATTTGATAAAGAAATATTGCAAAACAACGGTATAGCATTTTCGATGAAAATAAGGTATTTCCCAAAAGTCATAAAAGAAAAACTCGAGAATTCCAGCTTCAATCGCCGCACACTTCTCAGATAGTTTGCGACACGTGTTCGCGTGAGAGACCTTCTTTTCCTTCCAGTGACCGATACCATCGGCCGCCAAAGTATTGACCTTTCCTCCCGGGACACTCGCGTTTTTCTCGCCTTATGAAAGGCTCGGTACACGCTCGAGAAGAGATCCATCCAACCCCTTTCGCCGCTCTCTTTTATGACATGAACTCGGATCATTCTCCTTTGCCTTCCACCGGCATCTCTTCATGCCCTTACGAGATTGTTCTCGTCTCGTTCCTTCGCAGCGTGCATCTTCTCGCTCTATTTCTCTCTGTAACTTTTACGATGGAGAACTCGGGCTCGAAGAGAGGCTCGTGCACATAAAGATCGCGAGTCTTCCCTTTTTTTCCTCTCACAATGTGTCAACCTTACTCGAGTCTCGAAAAAATCACCTGACTCGCTCGGTGACATTTGACAACTCGATACAACGTTTGTGTAATAATGGAGCAAAACCCTCGTGAGAAAATGCATTCGCTGGCAACACAACTTTTCACTTTCGCCATATCGCGCAAGACGCTCTCTCGAGTCTCTTCAGTTAACTTTAATAAAATTGTCTACTTTCTATTTCTAATACACCATAAGCACGCAAACTGTGAATTACTGCTAACACCGTTCGCCCCAATTGCACGAGAATAAAAGTTTAAGAAGAATTTATGGGGATGTTTTAAGACCACTTTTCCACAGCACAGGTATAAAATGTGCTTGTATTTCCAGATCCGAAATAAAACCCTTCCCTATCTAGATCATTAAATAATAAATGATGTTATATTTTAATTTCGCGCGACATGAAACATTCTTACAACTGATTCATTGCTCAATTTATAACAGTGCAATTTAATAATGATCTAAATTTCCTATAACTTGTTAATAACAAATTAACTATATAATATAATAATTAATTCTCTTACAAAATTTTGATCTATCATAAATGTATATAAAATTACACTTTTCTTAGATAAATTTAATTGAATAAAAATATTCGTACTTGCAAATGTATAGTTTTTCATAATATAATTTTTTCTATGAAAAATAGCTGTGCGTGTATGTGTGTAAGATACGAATCTAGTTTGAAAAATATAGAAAACCAACAGTATAGACTAATTGACGGTCAGGATGTATTGTACGCGACGAAAAGTAATATTCGCTTTCGTTTATCGAGCGGAAAAACCCAGCTACCCCTCGAGCCGCAAATGCAATTTATCGTGAAACACAGCTAGTCAGATTGGGTAGGACGCAGTCGACATTGAATACCAATAACGATATTACGCGTCCGTGGGTGTCGCGTCTGATTCTACTCGATGACTGCCAACTCAAACACAAACTCAAATATAACCTATTACCTCGATATGATATTACGTACTACGCACGACGATGTTCTTACATTTTTTTTATTTTATTATATATATATATATATATATATATATATAACCCGCAAACGCGCGTGGAAAGTACACTTTCAAACCTTCAGACTTTGAAGTTACTCGAGATCGACCATCGGGGCGACTTTTGTCGGACTTTTATCATAATGAAAAGTAAATCATGGGATACTTTCATTAACTTAGATGAAAGTCAGAAACGTTTATGTGTATGTAGACATAGTTCAAACAAATGGCATATTCAAACTTTCCTTGAATCTATGAAAAGTATAAAATAGCAAAAAAGTTATAATTATATTAATATGCTCTAACTCTTTTGTATTTTAGAATTTTTATTTTAGCTTGTAAATCTATTACGCAATTATAAATAAATAATAGGAGAAAAATAAATGTTTCTAATCGGTATATATAATATAATTCTATCGTCTCCCACATTCATATATATTCTGATACTTTTCATATGGAGCCTATTGATATATTTCTAGATATACGTATTCCAAATATTATTTATATTTTCTGCAAACTTAGAGCATTATTAAGTTTTTCGGAAATTAAACGAGCTTATTTTCTGAAATCGTGACCGGACAGTTTTGATATCCGATAGATGATTATGATATTAATTTTCACGGATAATTCGCGACAATTTCTGAGATAAGTGTTCGGCAATTCTCGCCATAATATCCGATTGGAGGTTAAAAACCGACGAAAAATACATCGTACGATTGCGAGAAAAGCTTGAAAATAAAGTTCTAACGTACCGGTTTCTCTCTCTCATACGTCATCTCCTACATTTTATATTTGTTTTACTTTTACTGAAGCGAACATGGCTGACGGAGATTTTCATGACCTCCAATTTCGATCAAGCTGTCCGACGAAATTGGGAAAATAAAGGAGATATTTTCTCCGGAAGAGCTGACCGTGCGTAGAGCGAAATATTACGTAGTTGGCGAAAAGATGGTTTCTTGTAGGAAAACCCGCAGACGTGAAATACATATATGTTATTATTTTTTAATGTTCGACGTAGGCAATATTAATAAATTAAAAGTATCGGAAAAAGAATCAGATTTTCTCTTTATTAATTTTATAATTATTATTTATTTAAATATATTTGCTTTGCTACTCTAAAGCGCTCTGAAGAGATTTCTACTTTGAAATAAAAAGATGAACGAGAGTTACACGCGTGGAAAGAAATATTCTTCATATTCGATTATACTTTCATCAGACTAAAGATCGGTTATTTCGAGTATTTGCGTCATGTATCAATAGTTGCTGTCATATATCTTTTATCAATATATTACAATCGTATTCGCGCTCGTGTCGATTCCTACAATTCGCCAAACAAATGATTCCACTCTCGCGTGTGTTCTACTTTCGACCACTCTATCATATATCCTATCAATAAAAATCCAATCTATGATGCATTTCTTATACTTCAATATCCCATTCTGACGCAACAAAGCCGATCAGGATAAAATTCCGAACGCCGTACGAAAAGAAAGATGTAAACTCTCAACAATTCCGATTATACGACGATCGATCGGAAGAAACCGCAGCGAAAAATACATCCGATGCTTTCAAAACACTCTGTAATTTTTCGTGCTTTTCTATCATTGCGTAATTAACGTCTCAAAGATGACTGACGCGATAAATCGGAAGAAGGCCGCGAAAAATCTCGGAAAAACGATCGAAATCGACCGCGCATCCGCTTTATATAGGCCTCTCGTGTCCCTAGCCATCCAATATCCGGTTGACGCGCCGTCAAGATCGATAAAGCTTACGTTCGATGACACTCGAGATCGATCTGTAATCCTCCCTTCTGCGGCGGGAGAGGTAGCCAATCTCCTCGGAACGTTACCGCAGATTCGATTCCATTCGACGCTATCTAGCCACTCTCGGCAAGAAACGATCGTCGTTTTCTGGTAATTGCTATTGTGCCTTCGAGACTGCCATCGATGCTACTGCCCCACTTTGGGACGGGATCTTTCTATTTTCCTGCTCTTCGTCTTAACAGATTAAATCTTACGACCGGATCATCCCGATCATTTCCTAGTCCGGGACCAAGTGCACTAAGGTCGTTTCGGAACGGAACAACGTGGCCACTGCAGCGATATATCTCATTACTGAACAGCCATTGAGCTGATCTCTTCGAAGGATTAGCAGCTGGAGATTAATCTTACGAGGAGCATAAACTTTGTACGTGTAACGGATGAAAGTGTGGCCTTATCTTTTAAGTGAAGAAATATTTCCGCATTATTTAACTGTACCTGCGAGACAATAGCGTGATAAAAAGCGACGAGTGATAATTTTGTAATTTTTTACACGTATGTATGTGTGTGCGCGAAAATGGATTTTTCGAACGCGTTAAAAGAAATGTCGATACA